CGCGGGTCATTTCTTCTCCAGCGGGCCCCTGGGACTCTCCCGGGTTTGGCCTGCGAAAGGGTTGGGCTAAAAGCTCCATTTCACGAGCGCATTAATATTTCACAAGAGCAGAACTTGCAGGCGGCCCTAAAAGCTTTAATACCGAGCTCGCCTTCTTCCCTAGGCAGCCGGCAGGGCGCAAGGCAAACGCAGGGTGGATTTAGGGGGAGCAAGCCGTGACTTTTGCAAAGGTGAGGGCTTTGGCTCCAGCAGAACTGCGGAGAGAGGGAGGTTGGTTTCTGGCAGCTTTCTGCATACAAAGACTTTGGAGAAGTCAGCAAAGAACTGTCAACAAAGTGACTAAAAGTCCCTGGAGCAGAAGCAATTTGATCACGCTTGTTTAACCCAGTTGGGACCCAGCAGTGTTTGCTTTCACCGTATCTTTACATTCATATTCGAGGTGATGTGATGTGCCCGCTGTTTAAAGCTCGCTGGGTTAGGAACTGGGTGGGCAGAGCGCGCTCCCTCCCACACAGGATTGAGAAAATGGGGTGGGGAAACAACACTCGTTAGGGTTCATTTTTTCCCCTGTATTCTGATGTGTTTGTTCTTAAGATGCCCGATGCATGTCAGCGTTAGATTACATTCCTCCCGCTTGCTTCTTATCTTTTGGCTGTCCTTTTACAGACCAACATATAATTTAGAAAACAGCGCAAAAGCATCAGTTCTTTCTGGCTGTCTTATTTATAGCCACTTCAGTATCGTTTTTATAAACTGGTTTTATTTATCTTCATTTTTCTGTTATACCAGCACAGAATGTTTGTTTTACTAAGACTAGATATGCCTTTCTTAATTGCCTAGCCTTATGCAGGAGTTTGTCCTTTTGAACATAATTTTAAAATAGTGTTCCAATACAATGAGCCTGTCCCATATTTCTTGGTTTGGAATTTAGTACAAGGGAATTTTATATTTTTACTTTCCCTTGATTTTTTTCTAAGCAATGCACATATTCATAGCATTGGGAGCACCTTGGAATCATCCACGGGAGAACTCCATCCATCTTGTTCAGTTTACACCAGGAATTACTGGCTTTGGCTCCTTGTCTCCAAGGGGAAGAGCAAGTAAGTATCTCTCTTCAAAACTGATGCCAAACCTGGGCAGAATCTAGTAGTTCTAAAGAGATTAAGCACTGACAAAATAAACTTTGTTTTACTATTGTATCTTTCTGCTGCTCTTTATATATGTGTTTGTTTTTTGGGCTATTGTGTTTTGTTACTAGCCATTTACCTTGACAGCTGATGTTTATAGGACACCTATAAAGCTTTAAAAAGGAGTGAATAGTCCTGCCATTTAGTCAGAAATGATTTCAAAGACAATGAGATCATGAAATAAATGCTATTGATATTAATCAGTTTATATCATCTTCCTACAATATGTTAGGAAGATTAGATGAAATTTCCACATTGTTACTGGGAGGAATCTTGTATTTATCTATGACACTGATTAGTTTCCCAGACTGAAAAAGAACTCTGTAGGAGCTCAAAAGCTTGTCTTTAACCAAAATAAGTTGTACACCAATAAACGATATAACCGCACCCACCATGTCTCTGTATAAGAGCAGTCATTTTTATGCTTGATTGCATTATGTCCACTAGAGGTCATAGTAAGAGCCATTTTTCTCTGGTAATTTACAGAGAGGGGAAAGAAAGTAGTCAAGCCTACAAATCAATGTTCCACTAGGGATGTAACAGTGTAACCTATTACACGATTAACCGATAAGCAGGTGCTTATCCGTTTACGTTATCAACTACACGCAACACTTCCCCTCTCCCCTACAAGTAATTTTTTTAGCAGGCTGGTTGACAGGCTGTCTCAGTCCCAGCTTGTGTTGGGACCCAGCATCAACCCCTGAGCGGGCTCTTAGTGCTTATAGTGCAGAGCCACAGGAAGGGTTGATGCCAGGTCGCCAGCCTGCTCACACACCGGCTGTTAGTGCCGGGATCCGGCATCAACCCTTGCTATGGCTCTGCAATATAAGTGTGCATAGTGCAGAGCTGCAGTGGGGGTAGCTGCTGGACCCAGCAGGAGCCAGGATTGAGTGGTAGCAATGCTACCCCTCATCGATTAATCATGTAGTCAGCACATTTTTGTCGATCACACAAATAACAAATTACACGCTTCTTAACATCCCTATGTCCCACAATACATTATTTTCTAGATTTCTGTATGGATAACAAACTCTAGTTTCTATTTTCATGTAGTTGGAAAGGTTTCTATCATCAAATGCTGACTTTAATTCAAAGTTCCTTGCTTGCATTTTTATTTGATAAGTAATCACTGTACTAACCTTCACCTTTTCTTTAAATTTCATGTCTCTGTATTTCACACTTTCAGGAGCTATTGCTCAAGATCCAGTTAAAATATTTTAAAAAGCTGCAAATAATAGCAATTACCACATTGATGTTGATAATGACTCACCTAGCCATTCCTAACTTGGCAATTTCAAATGCTTTAATCCATCATTCAACCCTTTTAGCACCTTATCAGCTAGTCCTTAGAGCAATATATAAATAATATGACTTTAAGACATGAGTACAAAGCAATGGCTAGGAACAGTACATCTAGCAACTATATCACATTCTTTATAACACGTTATATACAAGATGTATGGCAGGAGCAGAAGGATGATTAGAGAATAGGAATACAAGAATCAAACTTCACTTTTCCCAGTGGATCTCTTGATGACATGAGATGACATTTTAAAATAAATTAGTGATTTTAACATGACACCTAATACAGAGTTCTCCATAACAACAATATTGCTGAATATTAGGAAGCAAACTAATCTGAAAACGACAATTTCTTTAATCTACAAAAGAGCCCAAAATTTTGTTAATAACATTCAACATTCCTGTGGTGGGAAGAACATCTCAGCAGTCCAGCACCCGGGCATTTAATTTCAAAAAGGGGAATTACACAAAAATGAGGAGGCTAGTTAAACAGAAATTAAAAGGCACAGTGACTAGAGCCAAATCCCTGAAAGCTGCATGGAAACTTTTTAAAGACACCATAATAGAGGCCCAACTTAAATGTAGACCCCTAATTAAAAAACATAGCAAGAGACCTAAAAAAGAGTCACCGTGGCTTAACCACCATGTAAAAGAAGCAGTGAGGGACAAAAAGGTATCTTTTAAGAAGTGGAAGTCCAATCCTAGTGAGATAAATAGAAAGGAACAGAAACACTGTCAAATCAAGTGTAAACATGTAATAAGAAAAGCAAAAAAAGATTTTGAGGAACAGCTAGCCAAAAACACATAAAGAAACAGCAAAATGTTTTTTAAGTACATTAGAAGCAGGAAGCCTGCTAAAAAACCTGTGGGTCCCCTAGATGATCGAGCTATAAAAGGAGCAATCAAGGACGATAAAGCCATTACGGAGAAACTAAATGATTTCTTTGCTTCAATCTTCACGGCTGAGGATGTTGGGGAGATTCCTGAATCTGCACCGTCCCTTGTGGATGATGAATCTGAGGAACTGTCCCGGATTGAAGTATCATTAGAGGAGGTTTTGGAACAAATAGAAAAACTTAATGTTAACAAATCTCCAGGACCGGATATCATTCATCCAAGGGTTCTAAAAGAACTCAAATGGAAAATTGCTGAGCTATTATCTGTGGTGTGTAACCTATCCCTTAAATTGGCTTCCGTACCTAATGACTGGAAGGTAGCCAACATGACACCAATATTTAAAAAGGGCTCTACAGGTGATCCTGGCAATTACAGACCAGTAAGTCTAACTTCAGTAC